GGACTATAATGAGGCCAAGAACCAGAAGGTTTGGATCGATGCTTGCGGAGAAGAACTAACTTCTATTGAAAAAAACAACACATGGGTGCTTGTTGACTTACCAAAGGACTTCAAACCGATTGGACTAAAATGGGTCTTTAAACTGAAGAGAAACGCAGATGGAACAATAAACAAGTACAAGGCTAGGTTGGTGGCTAAAGGCTATGTCCAAAGACACGGTGTTGACTATGATGCCGTGTTTGCGCCAGTTGCTCGTATCGAAACTATCAGAATGATCATTTCCTTTGCAGCCTCAAGAGATTGGGAGATTCATCATCTAGATGTAAAAACTGCATTCTTGCACGGGGAACTTAAGGAAGAAGTATAAGTTGCTCAGCCTGAAGGATTCAAGATCAAAGGTAAGGAAGACAAAGTATATAAGCTACATAAGGCTCTCTATGGCCTAAAACAGGCACCAAGGGCGTGGAACGCCAAGTTGGATTCAGATTCACTCGCTGCGCCAAAGAACCATCACTATATAAACGAACAGAGAAGGAAGATCTTCTCCTTGTCTGTGTTTATGTGGATGACTTACTCATAACAGGCTCATCAGTGAATTTGATCTTCGAGTTTAAGCAACAGATGGCCAGGATGTTCGAAATGAGTGATCTCTGAAGACTAACATATTATCTAGGTATTGAAGTACGTCAAGACAGAGGTAGCATTGTCTTGTCACAAGAGAGATATGAATTGAAGATTCTTGAAGAAACCGGCATGCTTGACTGCAATCTAGTCCATATACCAATTGACATGAATGTAAGACTCTCTAGATCACCACAGGAGAAGGAAATAGACGCAACAGCATACAGAAGAAGCATTGGATGCCTCCAGTATTTACTTCACACAAAACCTGATCTCTCATTCAGTGTCGGTGTGTTAAGTAGATACATGCAAGAACCTAAGGAGTCACATGGAGCAGCTTTAAAGCAAGTACTAAGGTATCTTAAAGGGACCACTTCTCTTGGTCTGCAGTTTGCGAAGAAGATGAAAACAGAGTTTGTTGGTTTCAGTGACTCCTCTCATAATTTTGATGACGATGATGGCAAGAGCACAACGGGACATGTGTTTTTCTTCGGTAATAGTCCAATAACCTGGTGCTCTCAGAAACAAGAGATTGTGGCTTTGTCAAGTTATGAAGCTGAATTTATGGCAGCCACTGAAGCTGCAAAACAAGCTATCTGGCTCCAAGATATTTTGAGTGAAATCGTAGGAGAAGATTGCAGGAAGACAGTCATACGTGTGGACAATAATTCTGCAATCGCTATGGCCGGAGTAAACACATTCATAGAAGATTTCACTTCATACGTGAATGTGTAGAGAATGATTAGATTGAAGTGGAACATGTCCCAGGTTGTGAACAAAGTGCTGACATACTTACAAAGTCACTCAGTTGAGTTCGTTTTGCTGAAATGAGGAAGCTAATTGGAGTACAAGATGTGTGTGGGAGTGAAGCCAAGCTTAAGGGGGAGAATGTTGTCGGTTTAAGTTTGGATAACGTTAAACGCAAGTCATCCTTATCTTAATGGTTGTATTTATCTAAGAGATTTAGGAATATTTAATAAGTGCTTTTACAAATAGGATTAGGTGTTTTTCGAGTTATATATATACCTATGCAACTGTTGCTTGATTATCACGGATTGTGTGAGATTGAAGCTTTAGTTTTTGAGTTTGATATTTCTAAAGCAATACGAAAGTGTTTTGGTGTTTTGATTCTTGAAGTTGAATACTTCTTAGAAAGAAACACTTTATATAAACCCTTAAATCCCATTACTCCTTTTTTGTTTGGTAAACATAATATTTTCCACGTTATCCAAGATATTTTCCTTCTGTCTGCATTCTTTCCCCACCAGAATTAAGAAGGTAAAGAGTTGATTTCGTCACAAACTGATTTTGGTAGTAGAAAATAACTCTAGGATAAACTGGTTTAGTTTGGAGAATCGATTTGATTAAAACTTCTTTACCTTCCTGAGATAAATGTTGATTATACCAAGGATCCAACTGCTTCTTGACCATATCCACGACATACCTGAAATCTTGAACTTTACTACGGCCAAATTACTCCGGCAGTTCCAAATACTTACCTCCTCCTCCTATTGTATAAATTTTCAGAATGTATTGAAATTGTTGTCGCAGAGAGTATGATATTCACATTCCAAAGATCAAAGAAGATTTGTTAAAAAAAACCTTTTGATCCGACATGCTTTCATAATTCCGGAGAATATCAATCATTCTTTGAAAATCTGATACCCTAGCACAACAAAATAATAAAGAGTCATCTGCAAAAAAAGAAATGGGTGATACTTAGACATCTTCAAGCTAACTTCATCCCTTGATAACCCGCCTCATCAGCTTGTGCCATCTTAGTAGCATCTCGAACTTTGGAAGCAAACAAATATTAGTATGATTCATTGCAGATTTCATAACACCAGATGTAGTATCCCAAAACTGTTGATAAAACGCTGCAGTATACCCATCAAGACCGGGGGTTTATCTGAACCAATCAGAAAAATAACATCACGAATTTCCAGATCAGTAACTGGACGTATCAAACGGGAATTCATCTCTGATGTAATATTTTGTTGCATTGAAGGGAGAACATTCTCCAAAGAACTTGACTGAGCAGAAGTGAACATCTCTTTAAAATAGTCTTATGCTATAACAGCAATTGTTTCATGACGTGAGTGATGAACATCAATCAAGTTTTTTATAAAGTTATATCGTGTTCTGCTCTTTTAAGACCATGGTAAAACCGGGTGTTTATGTATCCCTGGTTAACCCACTGATTACACTTTTCGATTTCCAGAATTCTTCTTCATAGTGATAAATCTCTGTTTAGCTCTTTCTGTAGATAATGAATATGTTGTGTACTTATTGACGAAAACTATCTGATCAATTTTTTCTCGAATCTCTTGTATCCTAATATGAGCATTAGTTCTGTTAAGTTTCTTCCAAGAAACCATCGATCCTCTACAGTATGAGAGTTTTCGATTCCAGCTTTCCAATTATAAGGTCTTCTCATACAATGGTACCGAAGCGACCCCAAGAGTATCCAACTACATAAATCTTATATCCAACTTCTGTCTGCCCCTATTCAATTCTTTTTAATGACACATTTAATTAATTTGTTTTTTATTATGTAATCAAATATATACACCATAATCTTATAAGAAAAAATTAACAAAGAATGCATATGTGAATATTCGTATAGTAACAGATCCACACGAGCTTTGGACCTCCTCCTAATTGCACACAGTTTAACTATATGAACCTATTTCTCCCTAAAAAAAAGCTCGAAACCTGATTCCCCCTAAAGTTTGAAAGATGAACTAATATCAACAAATGGTGGTTTAAACTAGGTTTAGTATTCTTCGTTTTAAAAAAAAAATCAGTGGCTAACCTAAGTAAACCACATATGACCCGACAAGTGCTTCCAATGGAATTTCCAGATTCGTTACTCATCCTTTCTAGAGTTCTCTCTTTGTTTTGTTCTTTGATTTTTGTAGATTTTAGGGTTCCAAAAGAGGTAAATCGATTTGGAAAATATTAATAGAGGTTTGGGTCGAGTCATAATCACTTCGTGTAGGTCATGTTGTACGAGTGTCGACTGAAACCATAAGATTCAATATTGGTTAATGTTATAAACCATTAAAACCAAGATCAATCTTCGTATGTGTGGAAGCGAGTTTCGATCTTTCATTTTGGGGAGAATTTGGTTGATATAGTTTAGTTGTGTGCAATTACGACGATGTTCAAAGTTCATGTGAATCTATTACTATACGATAGTTATGGTGTGGAAATAGATGGTTATCCCGAATATGACTGTTGGAAGTGTCAGCATGATATTTCAAAGTAAATACTCAAATAATAAACTAAGTCGACAAAAAAAAGAACTACTCAAATAATAATTTTGGCTTTTGGGAATGATCATGGTTCATCTTCATTATTTATTTACTCAAACGTACTGGGAGTTTGAGTAAATCTTTTCGCAGATGTAAAGAGCTGTTTGCTAATTTCCATCGAAAATATAAGAGTTGAGAGGCAAAAGAAGAAAATAAACACAAGTTTCAAGATGGAATGAGGTATATCTCATTCAAACTCCATTGTTAACAATCTTAAAGTCAAAGAAACAAAATGTTGCAGAGTAACGCATTTTCTTGCATTCCTCACCATTATTAACCTCAAACTTGATATCAAAATGTAAATCTTAAACTCCGGGTGTGTCAAAACACAGAACTGTCAAGAAAAAAATAAAAAATAAAAACATGCTACTTACAATAATAGATAACCTGTAAAAAGCTAATACATCTTCAAATATACTTGAAGCTAAACACATATGAGAAGACTCATTGTTCACTAATAATAAAATTTTCTTGAGACACGAGACAATCTAAAATGTCAAGACATTATACTCTGTTTCAAAATGAACGTCATCAGATCAAGGAAACTGGTATGATTTTCAAATAAGCTGGGGCAGTCACGTGAGAAGTGGCACCTGCAAAATAAAGAGAAGAGGAAGATGTTACACTCGAGAGAATTAGTATAAATAGAGAGATGATGTAATTGGGAAGAGTTCGTTAGTTGGTTGGCATCTTGTGGTTAGGGCTTGCTTCTCGAGAGAGAGCAAGATAGCTTCTCTTGTAATCCTTGTGTAATCCTCTGTTTTTGATAGAAATATACGTGATTTCTATCAGAAACATTCTCGTAAATTCTAAAATCCGGGACAACAAGAACATGAACATATCAGACATTATAATCTATTTTAAGTTCTCGTGTCTGTGAAACTACTTGACTAATTGATAAATTGAACAACTGAATAGTATATAACTTGATCAGATCCATGACAACAGCAACAAAAACAAATCTAAAAATCTAGGATAAATCTGAGCATCCAGGACAAGAACAAGAAACTAACAGATCTGAACGATTCCGACATGATTATTACAAAAAAAAAAAAAACTTACTTGGCTTCTCCGCCTTTCCACCAGTCCATTTGGAGATTGAGAAATGAACCTTCTCGTGATTTAGGGCTTCAGCTTTGAAAGGCTATTTGAGGCAATTTCTCACGAGTTTCCCACAAATGTTTGAGTAGGTGATGTAAGTCATACCCGCCTCCCTGCAGAATGGAACCGCCGCAGTCGATGCCATCTCCAATCTTCCTTTCTCTTTTTCTTCGCTCCGATCCTTGGGGTAATTTCGCAACAAGAGACAGATAGAGACAGGCAGGTGCTCTAATAATGTTCCATCCATTCATACTAAGGCTACTCCAACTATGTAACCAGCCTACTAATCAAGCTAATTTTTAAATTGAATTATATGGTAGAAAAATAAGATTCACAGTGTAGCATCATAGTAACGAGTATATATATATTAGTAAACTCTTTTGAAATGTAGTTTGCTAAGATACATTTCTTTTGTATTAATTGTCTTTTGAAGCAGTTTCTTGATTGTAGTAGTAAAAGTCTCCTCGACAAGGATAAAAATTTATGGATATTTTGTCCAGCACTAATTAATCACCCATCATTCTATCCATTTTTTAAAAATTATTTTATCAAAGTTTCTTGGATCCCACGCTAAAGACTGAGCTAAACCCCAGAGTCGCTGGCTTCTTTTCTGATTGGTTACTGAAATCCAAAGTGAAGATAACAACAACTCATTTATTTCCACGAAATTACTGAAATATATTAATTTCAGTATAAGGAACTTCATGTATGAGTTTGCTAAATATCTTTTTCGGCTTTAAGCACATAAATGCAACAAAGAAAAGACAATCTCATTTGACTATTTAGGTCAAAAATTGTTAGACGATCAAACTGTAGAAACTAAGAAGAAACTGCTGAAGCAATAAGATAAAGATGGTTGAGCTGACTATAACAAATAAAACAAGACTTATATTTTTTTGCTTTAAGTTAATGATTAAAAAATGTCAACAAGTCTTTTAAACAAAGACCAAATCTTTATGTTGTGTCTAATCGAAACAACACTGGTAATACCTTGGTTTGGTGGGTTTGGTAAGACATTTGGTTTATCTACCATAGGATTGTTATAAATCCATGTGAAGTTGTTGAAGCATGTTAGTGAGTTAAGTAACAAACAACATGGTTGAAGCAAAGAGCCTTGAGAGACTTAAAGCAATGAGGAGTTTATTGAAGAAGGAGATGGAGAGATCAGAGACATTCTCATTGGTTCTTGAAAAGACAGGAACCAAGCTTCAAAAGATCAAAACCAAGCTGTTGTCTTTAGAAGCTGATGTTAAAGTAGAGAGATGGAGATGTTCTCCTTTCTCTGACCATATCAGTCACACCATTGCACCCCTATCTGTTGTTCTGAGAGTCTTTGCTACGGTTAAAGAACTCGAGAGATCTCTCATGTCATGTAATGAAGTTCTTGGTTATGTTTCAGATGTTAAACGTCTTGGAGAAGCGTTAAAGCTTCTGTCAAGTAGCTGTGTTCTTGCTCTTACCTGGCTTGAAGATACAATCCAGTTCCTGTCCCAAAACGGAATGCCTAAAGATCATCCTTGCAGGTTACGGTTCAAGACTTCGATAGAGCTTCTACGGGAACTGCAAATGACCGAGGCTCGTGCTCATCTCAGTGGTGGTAGTCTTTGCACAGCGTTTCAGAATCTTGAAACAGAGTTTGAGAGGATACTCGAAGAGGAGGAGGTTTTGTCTGAATCCAACATGAGAAAGCTGCAGGCAATCATCAAGAGATTCGATGCTCACTGTGTGCCTATTTACATCAAGATCCGCACAAGGGTCATTCAGAAACGGTTTGAGAATGATTATCTACACAAAATAATCTCAGAAGCTGACAATGTGCAGGACATTGAAGACGTTATAGATCAATGGAGACTTGATATGGAGATAGCTGTTAAAGAGACCTATGAATTTGAGAGTAAGCTCTGCTATGAAGTGTTTAAAGATGTTGGAGAATAACATGTTCCATCGCGTTGCTTTGGAGCTATAGCTTCAAGTTCAGGACTCCTTACGCTTCTCAGGTTCGGATCAAGAGTCAGCAAATGCAAGAAAGGTCCACCAAAGCTGCTGAAGCTCTTAAATTGTTTCTCTACAATGGACAACATCCGAGTTGAGTTTAACCGGCTGTTCAGAGGGGAGCTATGTTCAGAAATACGCAGAGAAACACGGGAGCTTATTAGCAACCTCATTAACGGTGTCTGCGAGATCTTCTGGGAGTTACCTTGTCAGGTGGAGCTTCAAAGATCAAACTGTCCTCCTCTTGATGGTGGTGTACCTAAGCTTGTGAGTGTTGTGACTGAGTACTGCAACAAGTTACTTGGAGACAAGAACAAGCCGGTCTTGTCCAAGATTCTTGAGATTGATTTGGGTTAGAAGAAGGAAAAGTACCAAGAAGAGATACTCACAGGTCACATCTACAACATACTGAGAGAGATTGCTTTGAACTTGGATGCATGGTCGAGTTTCAACAAAGAAATAGCTCTTTCTTACATCTTTATGATGAACAATCACAGCCACTTCTGTGGTCTGAGAGAGACACATCTCGGGAAAATTATGGGAGAGTCTTGGTTAAGCGCACATGAGCAGTACAAAGACTACTACGCAGCACTATATGTCAAAGAAAGCTGGGGAAAGCTCTTGTCTCTACTCAATATCAAAGCTCAACCTTCGAAAAGAAAGCGAGCCCGTGAGTCCATTAAGTGTACATTAAAAGCCTTTGCTAAAGGATTTGATGAGTTATACACAAAGCAATCAACATGGGTTGTTGAGGATGAAGAGCTGAGATGGAAGATATGTCAAGCCATGGTAAGAACGATTGTGCCGAGGTACAAAAGTTATCTCCAGAGTTACATAATGCTTCTTGTTGAAGAAGATCCTACGAGTCCTGGTAAGGACTTGAGTTATACTTCCAAGGGGTTAGAGATGAAGCTGAAGACTATGTTTCAGAGCAAAGAAGAGACAGAGAAGATATACAAGTATTCTCATTTTGTGAATAAAGTGATGGATTTGGGGGATACTCCGAATTCTCACTTGACGTTTGAAGCTATATGATACTTAACTTGAAAACAGATTAGCTTTAGCTTTACTTGAATAGGTGTGTAGTGTGTTTGTCAAAAAAAATAAAAGAATAGGTGTGTATGTATTTGTATGTAACATACAAAAGGTGTTTGACTGATTTAAATGTTCATTTCACATTTATTCTTACGTTTATTTTCCTAATAAAAAATGTTCACTTGAGTAATAGATCAGTCTTTCGTTGTAAATAAAAAAAAAAATTATTTCCTTCCTTTTATTTTTCTAAGAAAAAATGTTCTTTTACATGAGACACCATTAATGTGATAATGGCGTGATAATTTTGGGAATAAAGGGTACAATCATTTCAGATTAGAAGAAGTCAACAGTAAAAAGAGTTACTGTATGTTAAGAGAAAATAAATATATTCATCTTTATATTCACAATTTTGTTGATTTTGTATGTACTATTCATTGAGTCATCTATACTCAGAAGTAGTCTCTGACTTGTCTATAATAATAAAATAGATTTTTTTTATAGGGGGCAAAAATTTACACGTGGCACCTCCTAATTTTGGAACAACCTTTTTGTAGTGGACTAATCGATCGTTTAACTATTAAACCAAACAAGACTATTTCTTAGATTTGGGCTTATATCCTCTTTTTAGGCCCATGCCCAAAATATCATGTGCTAAGACACATGATGAATGTCAACATATAGTAAACATAGCGACCCTTCCCTGCCGATGAAACCGCCGATGAACTTCCTGTAACGCCTTCACTTCCATTTATTTCCTCCTTTAATTGATTTACATGTTTCCATCCTAGTCCTCCCACTCTCTAGCCTTTAATTGATGGCACCATCTTCATACGTAACAGGCGGGAGATCTCCTATAAATTTGACCGCTTCCAGCGATGAACAGCGCCATCTCTGCGAAATCCATTTCTCTGAGATCAAGGCTGGCCATTGTAGGCAGAGATTTTCCACGAGTCTTCTCCTATTCTGGAAAGCTCGAAATGTGAAGAAAGGTGCAGAGTTGATTGGCGTTGATCTGGTATTGCTCGATAGGAAGGTAACGAGTCTTGGTCTTCATTTTGCCTTGATAACATATAATCATTACGAAATAGGATGCTTACATGCTCTGTGGAAATGGGTCACAGTCCAATTAATACTCATTGGCTCAATACTTTCAGAAACATTTTAAAGAAGGGGAGATGTATGAGCTAAATGTGTGTTGATGTATAGATGAGCAACTAACGCTTCTGCCTTTCAGACTCCCATGTATCAATTCACTTTACAGATCAGACAAAGTTCCACGAGTTCCCTGAGAACAGGGACTTGATCTCGATGGAGCTCTTCCGGTTTTGGGATTATGATCAGTTAGTGTTGTTGTCTAACACAAACACTGACTTACCCGGTTATTCATTATTCCCCATTCATACATATCATGTACTCTTCCTAATTTTCCATTTTAAATTCCTGCATATATTGTTCGTCGAGTGATGGGAATTTAAACTGCTTACAACGAAGAAACTCAAAAGACTAAGTGTATGCATAGATTAGTAATATGATTTTCAATCTCGTACCTAGCAGTTGTGCATACTAAAACTATGCCCTATTTGCATAACACCTTTATCTAAATCCAACCTCAACAACCCATTTCTACTTTGACAATGAGTGTGAGGCCAGCAGCGCAAGTTACGTCAAGAGCTAAGATTTTATGCATATAGTATTTATATAATTTTGTAAGGGTCCTATTATGTGTAGACCCATCGTTTTTCCTTTTCGTCAGGTCAGTGAACGAAAGGGAGGGTTCTTCCTCTACTCCCACAAAATTTACAATGGTCAAGAAGGTCAACTCATTGACTATTTCGAAACTGAATGCATATGTCCTCAACTCCTCTCCGCACGTAAACCTTTGTAATGAAACCCATCCTGCTTACTAGCTTCCTTTGTCACACTGCTGTGTTGTCAATACCACCTGAATCACTGCAGAAGTGCAGGTTGAGGATCTCCCAGGAGAGAGGATAAAGATAATGGTTCGGCTGTAAAATAGTATGTTTCTGTCGAGGAGTTCTCTGTTGAAGATTGTTAACACTATGCAAAGAATCTGCGTAATGGTTGAACTCCAGATGATTTAAGTGCAAAAATGGAGTTGTGTGCTTTCACACCTACTTTTTCATATTTTGCACTTATTTTCCCAGCGTTACTAAGTTGTCATTGAACTATATTGCAATGTTTTCTTTACATCTTTAGGTTTTTTTTTTAAAACAGACTTCTCGATATTTTCAGAGTTCAGTTTCATGCCTTTTAAGATTGTTACACTCGAAGACAAGCTGTATGTATAATAATAGTATCATTTTATTTTAACTATTCTAATTTCTCAGCTGCAAAGCAGTATTGTTTAATCACTATTAAATTTTTACACTGTTATAAATATTGATGTCAAGTATTTCTTCTAATGTCTCAATTAACCACTAGGTTCTTGCAATATTACTCTTATTTCCTTTTAGCAACCTTCATTTGTCAAGTCCATGTGTTATTACTTTCAGATTGTCGCATTTGGGGCAAAACAATGTCATCAAAATTAATATCAAATTCTGTATACATAATTTTCGGGCATTGTTGATGGCTTAGACGCAAAATTTGATAGTAAAAAATCCTGCTTGAAAGATTAGAACGCAAAATAGATTAGTTCTGACTCTAACCGATGAAAACAGTCTTCTTTCGCACAAACAAGTTGTTTGTGACAGTCTGAATAACCAAAAAATCACTCCCACACAAATTATGTAATTTTTTTTTGGTAAGAACGTGGGAGATAGACTCCCAACATTTATTAAAAACTCAAAGTTCCAACTACAAGCGTATTAGACGAGACCGGAGAGGTCCAGCAATATCATCTTGTACCAGACTAACAACCTCAATAGAAACAACATCAAAACTATGAAAACCAAAAGACAAAGAAAAAGCAAGGTTAGCTAAACCATCGGCAACGTGGTTAGCTTCCCTGTACACATGAACAACTCGGACCAATCAGTCCCTCTTTAGAAAGCCATAGCACAGATGTACCAGGAAAGACAAGGGGTGAGTATCCTCAATCCCTATCGTCAGAAAATCCACCACCACCTTCGAGTCAACTTCTACCTCCAGCCTTCTAACTCCTTTCTCCCAAGAAAGAACAAGGCCATAATAGACTCCCCAAACCTCATCCAACAGAGCACTACATCTTTCTATATTTAACGCAAACCCTCCACACCACTCTCGTTCGCCATTTCTCAAGACCCCTCCTGCACTCGCCAAACCCTGGTTTCCATTTGAAGCTCCGTCCGTGTTCACTTTCATCCATCCCTCCTGAGGCGGCTTCCATCATACCAATACTGCAGACTTGGTTGCATCGCCCTTACCCTTCTTCTCTCTCTCATTAGCTGCCATCACTTCCTTAGCCAAGTTCCTTAAGAATCCATTTCTGTCATTCCATAACTTCTTCTCTCCAAACACATTCCCACATCGCCATTTCCATCCCCACCACACTGCGAGTGCAAACCTTGTTGCCCATGGTATTACTGTCCATGTTCTGCTCTCACTTAGGTTACGCCACAGTCATTCAAGCAAAGATAATGAGAAGAAAACATTCTTCTTATCCCCTGGAACCAATCTTTCTCATATACCTCTCATCGCCTGTCTCAGCACATGTAAGATTGTCTCTATTCCTCCTCTACACACTTAGTATATGTTTGTTCCGCTGAGATGTCTCCTACAACGTTCTGCATTTGTCATAAGATCCTGCTGGCTAAGTAGCCACAAGAACATCCTCATCCTCTCCGGTGCTACAACTCTCCACAGCACTCGATAGAAACTACTCATGTCTTGTCTCTGCATCTTGTCTCTCGTCAAAAATGCATAAACTGAGCTCACCGTAAACTGCCCATTTGTAGTATGATACCATTTCAATCTATCCATGACTTCGTCACTCGTATCAACCACTACTCCAAGTTCCAACTAAGTCTCTTGCGACACAACGTATGATCCCATCCTCTTCCTTCTATCCACATGCCCTGTACTGTTGTCATTTCATAACCCTCTAGTAGGTCAGCCATCACAACTTCCCTGAGAGCGTGATCAGAGATCCATCTGTCTGCCCAAAATAAGGTCTCTCTCCCATTACCAATAACCTACCTGTTCCCTACCATCACCACTTCTCTTATCCCCAAAACTATACTCCTCCATGTAGATGATCCGTCCCTTCTCACAATCATCCAAGACGTGTCATGTACACTTCCCACCGAATATTTCTTGCGAACTACTTGAGCCCATAAACTATCATGGTTATGCAACAACCTCCAACCCACTTTAGCTATTAGCGCTCTGTTCATGTCTCTCACCTTACGAATTCCGAGACCTCCCATGCACTTTGGTTTACATATTCTGTCCCAGGCAACAAGATGCTGCCCACTGCCCCAGACAAAACTCCTTGACAGGCTCTCTAACTTCTCAATTGTACTTGCTGGTAGGCCGATAGTGCTCATCGTATGGATGGGGATAGAGGACAGCACAACTTTCGTCTTTGTCACACATCCTGCAAGACTGAGAGTTTGTTTCATCCAACCCGAGAGACGCGATGCAACCTTCTCAAGTACTTCGCCAAACATATCCTTATTGATTCTCTTCTGTAGAATCAGAATTCCTAGGTATTTTCCCAACTCCCTAGTTGATGCAATACCACTCTCTCAGCTTATTCTCTCCCCTATTTACCTTGTAACGTTACTTGAGAAAAATATTTTAGACTTTGGGAGGCTGACTTTTTGCCTTGATGCTTCACAGAACTTCTCCAAAACTTTTCTTATGACCCTTATTTGCGTCACCGAAGCTTCAGAAAATAATATTAAATCATGTGCAAAGCAGATATACGATAACTTAGGGCCACCTCTAGACAGGCTAATCGGTTTCCATCTCTTCTCCTCCACAGCTTCATCTATCAAATGGCATAATCTCTCCATGCACAAAACAAAGAGATACGGAGACAGTGGATCTCCCTGTCTTAGCCAACGCAGTGGGTTGAATGGCTTTCTCTTCTCACCATTCCACAAAAAACACATCTCCGGTCCTGACACGCACTCTATAACTCTTCCAACCCATGACTCCAGCAGTCCTGCCACCCATAGTGTATCTTCCATGAAATCCCATCTCAGTCTATCATAGGCCTTCTCCAAATCAAGCTTTAGCAACATCCATCCCTTACGTCCATTCTTCCTTCGCATCGAATGTACAGCCTCTTGCACCACAACAATATTATCAGCACTTAACCTCCCTGGTATGAAGCTTGATTGAGCAGGACCAACCAACTTATTCATAATTCCCTTTAACCTCCCCACCATAGCCTTTGTTATAATCTTAAAAAGCACATTACAAAGGCTGATAGGTCGAAATTGTATTATACTCTCCGGTTTATTCACCTTAGGGATCAACACGACTAACGCATCATTTGTCCCCTCTAGTAGCTTACCCGTCGCAAAGAAGTTCTTAGCAAATCGAGTTACTGATTCCCCAACTATCTCCCAACATCTCTGATAGAAGATAGGTTGAAAACCATCTGGGCCCAGTGCTTTGAAGCTCCCCATCTCTCTTACAGCTCGTTCAACTTCCCCTTCCGTGAACTCTCTATTCAGATTATTATATTCCTGGCCTGCCAGTTCACAAATCTCCGCACTGACAGTCCTCTCGTTTCAGTATCAACACCCTCCAGCGAATAAAGCTTCTCAAAGTAGCTCACCGCTAAGTTCTGCAGCTCCTGCGGATCCGATACCCACTGATTATTATCATTCTTCAACATTTCGATTCGGTTCCTCCTCCTTCTTATTATTGTTGACATGTGAAAGAAGTTTGTATTCCTATCCCCATGCACCAGCCACTTCTCTCTTGATTTCTGGAACCAAATAACTTCCTCCTGTTCCAAAACTATTTCCAGTTCTTTAAGGATCTCATTCTCTTTAGATAACAGCTCGTCGGAGCTGTCTTGTTCAATCTTATCCTGTAGGTCTTTAATCTCCAGAAACAAGCTCTCCTTCTTTCTCTGGACATTCCCAAATACTTTTTATTTTATCTTCTCAATGTGCCACCGAGCCTACTTAAAGCTTCTTTCGTATCGATGTCTCGATTCCACGACGATGCTACCAGCTCCTTAAACTCGCTATGTTGCAGCCATGCTGCTTCAAAAAGAAAAGGTCTCCGCCTTGTATTCCCTTTGCTCTCCGATGTCAACTGTAAGTAGAGAGGCGCATGATCAGACGTTAGAAAAGGTAGATGAGTGACTCTAGCTACTTGCCACTTCATTCTTGCTTGTGCACAGCAAAGAACTCTGTCCAACCTCTTCACAACAAAAGTTCTTGTTGTTTTCCCTCTTCTCCAAGTAAACTGACTTCCTCCGAACCCCATATCTATCAAGGAACACTCATTAATCCAGTCTCCAAAAGTTAACGAGTCATCTGACAATCTTCCATTCCCACCAGACCGCTCATCAAGTCTTACTATTGTTTTGAAATCCCCACCTATGAATACCGGGCTATCAGTGTTCCTTATTTCCTCGTGCAGCTCTGCCCATAAGCCCCTCCTCCTGCTTGCTATAGAACCAACCTGAGAATTGAGGGACTGTAGGCAATTTAGTAAAAATTTCAAAAAAAAATCATTTTTACAAATTTTAAATATTTTTTCTCGGTAAATGTTTCATTCGGATTTGCTTAGAACTGGTCTTAACACACTCAGCTTCACAACTATTGAAAAAAATAACTTAAGGGAATTTCTTATAAAAAAAAATAAATAACGTCATACTTATAGGACACTAATGCATAATACAAACTTTCTAAAAATAAATTACTAATTTACTTCCTTCGTATAAACGCAACGCCTGAATTTTTCTACTTTACACATATTCTCTCATCTTTCGCAACAAAATCACAAATAAGTATATCATCTTCTACTATTACCCAACACATTGTCATAACTTAAATGTGTTCCTCGCAATAAAATAAAGAAGGACAACATGAAGATGCCACACACAATAACATCATATAAAACAACGTAAACAATATTCCGCGCGAAACGCGGACATACCACTAGTTATTACACTAAAAAACACTTATTTTTAGGGTAATTTTTGTGATTATAAACCAAACAATTTGTAATTAAGAAGATATTATTAAATTTGGTAATTTAATGGAATTTAAATCTGACATGAATTCCATTGTTATTCAATTGTGGATTTGAACAAAGTGAATTAAAATCCAGTCTTATTGGATTAAGGATTTGTCTAGAATTTGAAAGGGATTAATTTCACATCTTATTCAATATCCCCCATAGATTTCTTGAGAAATTAGTTATAATAGATTTTGATGTACTTTTTAATAAAAAACAAGAGGAAACAAATCCTAACTTTTTTATGTGGCTTTCAAATCCTTATCGACATCATTGTAATCGTTCCTCTCTTTCTCATCCATCCTTCACCACCACTGTAATTGCTTCATCTCTGTCTACGCCCGTTTTGAAGAAACCAAACATTTTGTCATATCTCTAACCACTCAACGTTTTTCTCCTCCTCCACAGTTCGCGTCCGTCTCGCAGTCCTACAAGCCTTCCCCTGGAGGGCTACTTTGAATCCATCTCACGCAACTGCCGCACTGCTTGAGGAGAACCATCCATGAATTATAGGGCTTTCAAATTAATTATCCACACGATTCAGCTCAAGCTTTCAAAAACACAAATATAAATCAGGTGTTGGAACACTAAACTTTAACAACTTATTTGTATACAAATAATCTGCAGGTTGAAGTATTGATTATATACAAACTTTCAAATACACTGTGATCCTTCCATCATTTGTATCTGCTAAATGTAAACTTCTATATAGCAGGGATCACTGCTTCCAGTCAAAGGATATGCTGTGGAGGAACCTTGATAGATGTAGAGTTGGCCTCTTTTGAAGTTAAGAGAGTTAATTCACTAGACTTTGTTCTCCAAAGCTCTAGAATGTCATTGTGAATTAATCCTTCTAATTTTCTGTCTTGAACAGCTGATGGTTCATAAACTGGACGTTAAGCTTATGGTGGCTGAAAGTAATCTCCTCTTGTCTCACTAACTCCAGCACACCTGGAAAACAATAGGGTGCGTGAGATTCATAACAGAAACATAGTAAAAATCACAACAAACCAAGGAGAAAGCTAACCTTCTTGCAGGAAGATCTGAACATATATATATATTTTTTATCCTCTGTAATATTAAACGGGTATGATGTTTTCTACCTGTATCTGCTGCAGCATGGTTCCTATACTCTTCAAGATCTTTGGTTATTAAATTGACCATCTCTTGCATGACGTGAACCCATCCTCTGAGCACATCTTGGTTTTGTTTATCTTGATATAGATAGGGAAAAAATCAAGGAGGTTGTTGAGATCAAGCAACAAAATCTGGCTGAGGAAATTCAAAAGCCGTTGAGCTTTAGACGATGACAACCAAATTTATGTTTCTTTCAAAAAACTTTTATTTTATCTCTTTGCTATTAAATAAGTTTAATAGAATTTGAAGATGATATCTTATGTGTATATTGATTGACAAAAACAATAGAATATCCATGTCTTTTTGTAAGCCTTAGAAATGGAATTCGTTTATATTTTGTAGGTATCTTAATTTTCCGTACGATCGTCCTTATGGATAACATGTAAATTATTGTTTTCTGCAATTATTTTCTCCGTTTCTGTTAACTTTTTATGTTTCGTTTGATAAATGATTGAGTTCTTTGTTTTTAAAATATTAATGCGTAACTATTTTAAGAAATGTATTTGGTATATTATACATATGAATATATGAGCTAGATTAGTTGTATGAAGAAAGAAACGTATTGATCCAACTCACATAGTATTGACACGTGTTTGGGGAATTTCTTTTTATCTTTTGGTGTAACTATTTTAAGACACGCTTTTGATATATTATACATATGACTATATGAGCTAGATTAGTTGCATGAAGAAAGAAACATATAGATCCAACTCACTTAGTATTGACACACCTTTGGAGAATATATTTTTATCTTTGGGTGTAACTATTTAAGACATGTTTTATATATATTATACATATGAGTATATGAGCTAGATTAGTTGTATGGCGAAAGAAACAGATAGATCCAACTCACATAGTATTGACACGTCTTTTGGAGAATTTCTTTTAATGTTTTGGCTGTAACTCAAATAGTCTTCCACGCTAACATATGTAAAAAAAAACAAATTATATAATAGTAATTATATAAATATTTATATAATAGTATATATTGAATATTCAACGGAAGATCCGCAACAAGAAAAGGCGAAAGGAGCATATGAAGTTTGGAATGTTCGAGAAACGACAGTGCTGATTTGACTTCTCTTGGAAGGTGTTAATCAAGGATGGCACGGTAAAAATGGAAGCATGAGCAGAATGACGGTGGAAAAGAAGATTCTACCTATTTTGAATGCCACACTTGGTTGCGAAAAAACTCATAAGCATTATTTAAATAGAATTAAGAGTTTAAGAAGGAGCTATAATAACATGCAAGCGCTTACCTGATACAGTTTTGGATTTGGATGGGATCTTGTATATAAAAAGTACACAGCTCCTGAACAAGTGTGGGATGAATACGAAAATGTGATTTTATTTTTCTAAAGATTAAAATATTTCTACTATAATATTTTTAAACTAATAATATATATATATTATAGGCACATCCAAGTAAGAAGACTACGCGAGATGAAATTTTTGAAGATTATGAAGACTTACAGCTAATATTTGAGCAAGGATTAGCTACCGGGAAAAATGCTATTGGTTTAGGGGACGATACCGATGCAGAAACGTTTCGAGCTAAAGATAATGGGCCGTTTGAATTAAATACTAGATCTTTTGGATATACTGGGAATGAAGGATCTCAAGCATCAAGGTTTTGGGATTCAACTTTGCCAAGAAGCACAAAAGGCCCATCAGAAAAGCTACCTCGTAAAAAGAAAGCTAAAAGTGTTGAAGGTGGAGAGTCTAGTAACTCAAACGTGGATGGTATCCATATGGAGAAGTCCTTTAATGAAATGATTAGATTAGCAATCAGGTTGTTAGTTTGATTCAACAAAGAGAAGCCAGGTTGAGAGAAATGGAGAAAAAAAGAATAATATATGGGAAGGAATCAAAGAAATTTCTGGCTTAGAGGGAGATGTTCAGTATGATACACTGAATGAGCTTCACAAGGTGGGGATGAAAGACGTGTTCATCAACATTTTTATTGAAGAAGCTGGACACGTAGAAACTTGAAATGATGCTTTATTTTATAAATTGCGAAGTTTTTAAGTTTTTTTCTTTCTTTCAATAATAGCATGTTTCTTGTTTTATTTATAATAAAATTTGTTTCATTTCAGTTTAAGAATAAATTCATATTCAGTAGCACTAATATTATATTTACTTTTTCTTTGAATTTATGTTTTAATTATTATCGACCCGTAAAATTTTTTAAGAGATGATTTTTATTTCTTTCAAGAAAATTGAAAACATGGACTTAGCTTAGTGATGCGTAGCTTTCCATATATTTAATTAATTAGTTTTATATTCTTGTTTGAGATAATCATACTTTCCATATTGTAATCTGACCATTTTATTTTCTTGCATAAGGTTCACAGATGAAAATGAAGAGACTGAAATTACAATAGACCAAACAGAAGACGAGGATTTAGATACAAAAGTGTTACATTTGTTGATGACAATTCTTGGATTAGCAAAAATATTGATTGCATATCGATTTTTCAAACTCAAAAGCTATATTGAATATCCAATTCGATGGCCCAGCACAAGAATTGGATACAACTATATACACAAGGTGTTGCAAGAAGATCCTCAACATTATCAACAGTTGTATCCTATGTATCCAGATGTGTTTCTCAATCTATGTGACCTTATTAAAGAAACAACATATCTGAAAAATACCAGAATCATCTGTGTTGAAGAAATGGTTGCCACTTTTCTAGTCACCATCGGCCAAAATTCGAGGTATTGTCACACTAAAGATACTTTCAAAAGGTCAAAATTTGTAAGAAAGTACAATTTTTCACAAAGTCTTAAGGACAATAAATAAAAATTTTCCGAGTTTGATGGCCAAACCCACACTCACAATACCTGCGAAAATCAGAGAGAGTACAAAATTTTATCCTTATTTTAAGGTATATGTATTTTTTAATATAATGTATCTTATACCTTGTTATTATATTCACGAAAACTAATATATCATATTTATTTTAGGATTGTTTAGGAGCTATTTATGGTACTCTTATACCTGCTATAGTTCCTATGTGTGATGCTCCTAGCTATTGTAATCGAAAAGGAGTAATATAACAAAATGTGTTGGCTGTTTGCAATTTTGATTTGGAATTCATATATGTTCTAAGTAGATGAGAGGAGGCTCTGCTCATGATTCAAAAGTATTATATGATGCTTTAACAAAGAGGACTAATAAATTTGAAGTTTTACATGGTAATTTTCCTAAGGTAAATAATAAGCTATACTTTCTTTACTAAATGATGAGCTAATAATTATATTTTTAATTTTGTTTCATGAAAATTTCATTTAGCTGATTGTGGATTTGCTAACAGACGCAGATTTTTGGCTCCTTTTCGAGGTACTAAATATCACCTTAAAGAATTTATTGGCCAAGGTTGTGATCCCGAAACTCCACATGAATTGTTCAATCATCATCATGCCTCCTTAAGAAATGTGATTGAGAGAATATTTGGAATACTCAAATCACGATTTTTCATATTTAAATCAGCTCCTCCATTTTCTTTCAAGACACAAGAAGAATTAGTACTGGCTTGTGTAGCTTTACATAATTCTCTTCGCAAGCATTGTCGTTCAGATGAGTTTCCGGTTGAAGTTCCCAGTGAAGCTACCAGTGCAGAAAATATGGAAGAGATGATTCTAAAAATGTTGAAGAAACTTGAGAGACACAAGATCAAAAAAGAAAAAGTGCTAATATGTATTTACTTAGTTTTATTTATTTGCTGTTGTTCAAAAACAAACAAAAGTTTTATTTATATTCCAAAGATGTTCTAATAATGATTTTTTAATTTTTTTTTGTTGATTTGGAATTCAACGAATTCCATTAAAATACATTTTATTAAAATCCTTGTTATCTTATAAAACTAAGGTTAAGCCCGTCCTACGGGCAGGTGAGCAAATTAAAAATCATAAAAATTAGATTTTAAACTAATCATATTTAAAAAATTTATTGGTGACTGAAAATAATTAATTTTCAATATTTGTTTTTGTTGTTCTTGTTAGAAAGTACATGCTTGTAAATTTTCTAATTAATATAATTATTTTTATAATTATTTTTTGTTATGTTTTTTATTATAAAAATAAGGAAAATATTCATTAACTATTTAAATCCAATACAGAAATCATTTATTTTCTTTATTTTATACATTTATATTTAGATTTTTAGTTATTTAATTTTTTTGTTCTATAAATAATTAATGTTTTCTCTAGTAATTGACCAGTAATTTGCATGGATTTTTTATTAGATATTTTTTAACACTTTTGTTATTTTGAAATATTTTATTATCATTATATATTAATTATTTTATTTAATTACTATTTGTACCAGTTTCTATTAAAAAAAATTAATGCTTTGATATTCAGTCTTACTCTCGTTGCAAGAACTTAATTTCATAATATTATTGATATACTTTAGTGGGACTAAGACTATTTTTATTTTGGAACTATAGATTTTTTGGTGCATTTTTCTTATTTTAGATTATATAGTTTGATTTCTATGATTATTTTATCTTATTTTATATAGCGTCTCTTTTTGTGTGTTTACAAATAATATGTTTTTAATTTTCATGTCCATAATAAATTTGTGCTTGAAGATTTTAGGGAATTTATAATATTACGATTTCTATTTTATAACATTTATTTAGATATACAATAATCTTTGATTTCTTGTTATCATAAGAAATTTTTTTATCGTTTGTTCATTATTGTTTTATATGTTATATATTATTTTATGTTTTTCACTATTTTTATTGAAATTTTCATTTTAATTATGTATTGTTTTTGGCTATAGGCTTTTATTAATTTCCTGTTAACAATTAGATATCAATGTTAGCTGCAAATTTCCCCAAATTAAAAGTTAGTAATGAACACACAATGCCTAATACTTATAAGTATAACTTAAGATTCCGGTAATATCATATTTATACTTCAGACCAGGTTAGGAATCTGAAAAGTTCAGTAGGTATGAGCCTAATAAATGTTGTTTTCTTAACTAAAGAGATTCCATTATTGGGGGTTGCTGCGCGTTACATCGAACCCGCTCAACCTGTAGATTGACCCTTAACTGAGATGCTGCCTGAACATGAATTGACGGTTTGCATTAACAGAACCTTGAATAACCATCGAATGTTAGAAATGACAGATTATTTTCGTTTAGACAATCATAATGAAGCCAATCTTCAACATCGTTAATCGGAAAGGAGATGCTTACATTCTCGTCGATGAGGAGCATATCTAGACTCATGGGCTCACCGCCTTTCCTCAAATTTGTGGCCTCCCAAAACCTCAGCAAGTGAACCTCGGTGGTGTTGGAGCAGGGCCTGACTTTCAAACCGGCAAGGAGAATTGAATAAATCACCATTGTAGCAATCGGAAAGTTGAACAAACTTTTCTTTTAATGCTCGTCGAAGTTGTGCTGTTTATGTCTGCAAAAGGGATATATATACTCACACCTCTACATTGTTATTTTTGGGATGCGATAAGGTGGTTTCAATGATCCAGAGTGGATTAATCACTTATAAAATAGGAGGAAAGAAGGTGCGAATCAAGCCTGCGTCGAGACGTTACAGAGAGTTGATAATTTATTCCGATATTTACAACCCTCGTCGGCTGATCTAGGGATCTCAAACGAAGATGACGATCACACCTGTAATATTAAAAGATCTCTATAATCTGAAATTTTAAACGCAATCTACAACAATAAACCCCCAAAATAAATATGCATTTTACCAATAATATATTTTTCTAAACTAATTAATTTTTTTTTCTAAAGCCCAACAAATAATTCTTAAACTTTAATGATGTGACACATGGCATTTTTTGCCCCTCATGGAAAAAACTAACTTTATTATATAAGAATCCTTCTTACCTTTCAAAGAATCCTATCAAGTCCATTAAAATACTCCTAATTACAATTTCATCAATTTCCCTTAAATTACCAAATTCAATAACACCCCCCTATGTTTATTCATCTAACTAAAAGAGTCCCAAAGATTTTAATCTTTGTTATGTTCCTTTTCTTTCTCTATAACAAAAATAATAATAGCTGAGAGATTTTAAGTTTGAAGATGATATACAAAACGATGGTTGTTAGTCAGACAAGAAGATGAATCTAATTCAAACAAGGATGGCGAGGAAGAAGTAGAGCGGCACCGTGATCTCCCTAAGATAGATCTTATCCTATGTCGAAGGTCTAAATTTTCCATAGTTTTCTTCGTTATCTCCTTCGATGTGTTGCTATATCACGTTATTTCTTCCGCTGTCGTTTCTCGCCGTCGCGGGACTGTTACGAGAAACTTGAGAACATTAATGGCCATTTTTGGGGTTTTTTCATCTTTGGTCCTTAGTATTTTGTATAATTTCATTTTTAATCCAAAAGTTATAAATTGTGCATATGTCTTCTCAAATTAACCCCTTCATTTCTTGATTGTTAATTCCAGCACATCCACATAATTGCAAAAATAATCTTTGATATTTTGATTGCTTTCGTTTTTGCCTCCAAACTTGAGAAAATAAAAAATGGTTGAGAACATAAGATGAAGAAGACGAAGAAGAAAGAGATGTGGATCTACTTTTTTTTGTTTGTTAGTTATATTTATATTAAATAAAGTGAAAAGATATATTAAATTTAATTAAATTAATAGACATGTAGGGTACTTTAGTTTGTTTGTAACAAAGAGGTGGGTTTGGTTAAGCAAAACTACCGTAGAAGCAACAACTGCCCTATTATGTTAATAAAAACTTGAAACTCTCTCTTAATGTAATATTTTCTTATTCATTTGCGTTATTTTACATATTATGA